ACGCTCTGCAGATTTGGTGCGACGACACCGGGTGCATCGTGTGCGGCAGCAACAAGGGGCCGCCAACCATCATGCTGTGTAAAAGATGCGACAGCGGCTTCCATTCATCCGCCATGCGTCCCGGTGGAGCACAGGCTGACCGCCGTGCCCGAGGAAAACTGGTGGTGCCCCACATGCACGTAAGAAAATGGATGCCACTCTTCAACGACGACGTGCAAGCTTTCTTCCGATTGCACTATGATCAGACCCCATGGCGCTGCCAGCCCCTCGTTCGTCGTCACACTCGACCCGCCAGGTTGCTTCAGGCGCCCTCCCAATCTGTACTTGGCTGGCGAGCCCTTACACGCGGGGCTGGTGACGTCGCTGTTCTCGCAATCAGCGATATCCCGATTAGCCGTCAGGGGCAGCATGGGATGTGTGGATCACTGCCGTTGGACTGTGCGCCTGAAGATCCGTCAGCTGAGGCGTTTGGCCTTCTGAGTTGTGTGGAGAAGAGGCGGCGGACGAGGAGTTCGCTGTCGGTACCCGTCGCTCACAGTGACGTGCCGTTTACTGCCGACGGACCGGTGGAGGACGAAACGGATGAAGAGGATGAGACAGTTCAGCATGCGGGGATACCCAGATAGCATCGATTAAATATGTTTTTCTCTATGTGTGCACACAAAATACATGCATGTGTCGATCGGGTGCGCCATGGGAGCTGGCGTTTTGCATTTGACGAGCTGCCAAGGCAAGGATAAGTAGAGCTCGACGTGTGGATTCAGCCGGGCCACGCCCACCAACCTGAGGTGGGCGGGGCCCGGCTGAGCCTCCATGCATGTCTCATCCTCTTCATAATGCTATTCCCCAGACAGTTTGACTTGAATAGAGAAGCAGTGCGTGTCTGCTTTCGCGGGTCTGTCCATGATGGTAGTGTTATACATAGTGGCGTGTCTTGTGTGTCTGAATAAACAGCTCTCGTGTCTGTTCATGATGTTGTTACTGTGCATGCTGACTTGTCTTGTGTCTCTGAATAGACGGCTCTTTTGAAAGGCTGTCGACGCTTCATGTATTGCATGCCCCTCGAGGTTCCGGTGGCGTGTTCCCGGCGTATGGTGCTTTCCTTCCGCTATTCTTCCCCGAACCCTAGACCTTCGTGCTCGATCTGCACACAACACACAACATTCACACCACGATTATACAGAATGCGATGCGACGGCCGTGCACATCCATCCATCCATTCATCGACACACACTTTGCTCTTGAGGTCTCTATTGATGGAGAGGTACGTGAGCAGCTCCTTGAGCCACTCGAGGGGGTCATCCCGCCGCTCCTCGCACCACTGCCAGGCCGCCTCGGCAACGGCGCTGTCCGACGACAGCAGACCGTGCAGGGCCTGCACACATCATCACACACACACACACAGCCATGCGATGGACAGACAAATACAGACGGTGAGGAGCGGAGAGGCTCGCTTTGGTGTGTGAGGCGTCATTACCGTGGAAACATTGAAGTCTCTCGCTTTGTTTTCCATCGCAATATCCATCGATCTGGGGGGAGAGAGAATCGAGGAGTGTGCGAGCCTGCTGCCGAGATTCGTTTCACGAACTGATTTGCCCGGAATGAACTACTGCAGGGGAACAGGGCAGGCATGCATCAGATCCTTTCCTTCTCGCAGCCTGGTTGTTCTGGAGAGGGCCCCTGATGTTTTTTTCTCTCGAGAAATAGCTTCATCGCACCTTTGAGAACGAACGTATTCAGGTGAGGCCAGAGCTCACCCGCCAGCTGAGCGCCTGCACTCATTCATTCATCTGCTGTGGACGTGTGGTGTGTGCAGATGGCTGGCACGACCGGCACATCGTTTCGCCGACCAACCAACGTCAAGTGCCAGGTGGCTGATGGTGGATTGATGGACATGGATAACGCTGACGGCCCGGCCGCCGCTGCAGCTGCAGGTCACACCCGCCACCGTTGCACGCACACCGGATGGGATGTGGGTGTGTGGTGTGGTGTTGCTGGTGCGTGTTGTGCAGGTGTGCAGGGCGGCGCGGCGAATGGCACTGTTAGCTTGCGTGACGTCATAGATCAGCTCGACTCGGTGAGGAAGGGAGGGAGAGAGGACGTTTCGCCACACACGGTGCATTGCTCCGTTCTGCTCTGCTCTGCAGATGACATCTCAGATGGTCGCGTGCACAGAGGCGGCGAAACTCAGGGCCTCACACCTCGATGACAATACAGAGGTCACCACGGGAAGAGAAAACAGAAATTCATTGAACCGCGCATCAGCACTCATTGGGTGTGTTTCTCTGTCTGCAGGATCGTGGCCGGCTGGCGGATGCGCTCAAGACCTTCACCGACGCCCACTCCACGCTTCGCAACGAGCTGACGCACATCCTCACCGAGAGACTCGTAAGGCCGGCATAAACGCCACAATAGCTCTCAAAAGCGGATGAGTCCATCCCTCTCTCTGTTGTCGTGTGTGTGTATGAGGTCAGACATTGCCTGCGCCTCGTTACAAGGTCGGCACTCGTGTGTCGGTGGCGGTCGAGGAAAGGAGGGGCGACTCTGTGTGGGTGACGGCCGCTGTGTACGACGGAGGAGACCAATGGCGGCACTGTGGTGTTCATGCGGGAGGTGGAGGGGAGGGAGGAGGAGCTCAAGCCGGTCACCGTACCGCACCGGACCAAGCCACCACCCCATCACAACCAAGACCTAGTAGGCAAATACACGACAGTCACACGTGCGTTGGACCTCCAGTGCGGATGCCTCACTCTCTCTCTCTCTCTCTCTCTGTGTGTGTGTGTGTGTGTGTGTGTGTCCACGTCAGCGAATGGGCGGCAAGACGTTTTCGTGGAAGGGCAAGAGTTCGGCTGGGACCACCACCAAAACACAGGAGTCCACACCGGTACGCACGGACAAACATGCAATCAATGCACACAGATGGACCAGCTCATGAACATGGCATTTTTGCTGTTTGAGTTGTCTCCATCCAGGTGGTGGCTGCTGGTGGCGAGGGCGAGGGCAAGCGTAGACGTGTAGCTTTCGAACCGGCTGCTGCTGCTGCTGCTGCATCTTCCCCATCGCAGGCCGGGAGGCGTTTGCCGCGTGAGGGCCTCATTCTCATCTCGGGCTATGGCGTGTGGCCGCTCTTCAACAACAGCATCGCCAAGGAGGCCGGGGCTCAGTGCCGCCAGCTCGACATCGACTGCTCCCGAGCCGCCGACAGGGCCTTCTGGCAGGCGATGCCCGTCAACGTGGCCAAGAGGTGGGGCGGCCGCATGCCCAAACTCATGCGCATCTGGTGCTGTCACCCGGCCGGCGAGGGCGCCTGGTGTCTGGACGTCATCACGGCGCTCATCGAGGGCCACACAGAGGGCCGCACAGCCATGGTCGCGGAGAAGAGAACGGAGGCAGAGAAACGGGGAGAGGCGGCCGACATCCCCGACGGCTCACTCACGACAATCGCCTTCGAGGCGGCTGAGCTCAGCGACGAGGACATGCCGTCCGTCGGGTGCATCAACCCCATCCTCCCCCCTGTGTCTGCCCGGCCCCCCTCCCTCCCCGCCCTCACATCCATCAGCGGCCTCACTGCCCACCATCGTGGCATCGGCAGCCGCGGCTGGCGGCGCCCCGTCGCTGGAGCGGGTGCAGGCGCACGAGCACGTCGACACGCTGGGGCCACTCGTCGGCTCGTCGCGGTGCCTGAGGGTGTTCGACGTGCCCTCGACGGTTGAGCAGAAGAGGGCGGTGCTGGAGCGGGTGCCCGTTGCTGCAGAGGAGGGACAGCCGCGGCCGCTGGCGAACTTGGAGGATATCGGGCCGATTGTGTCCCCCGACAACCTGATGACGAATCTAGAGGCGTTGACGGTCTGGCGCACTCGATTGCAGGTCAGCAGGCTTGTTTACACGGAATGGACAACAGATGCAATGATACTGACCTATGTCATTTCCTTCCTTAGATGCTGAGGTCGGTCCTCGTGTCACGAGGCTGTCGTCGGTCCCTCAAGTCGCTGAAGGTCAAGTTCATCGACCGGGCGGTTGTGGGCCACGAGGTCTTCGAGCTCGCCGTGGCCATCCGGACATTCGCCTGTGGGCGGACATTCGCCAGTGCGGTGTGCATCGGGGACGTGCCCATCAGCTTCACCGGTGCGGCCCCGCGGTTTCCCCTGAGCCATTTGTACAACCCCCTCTCCCCCGCTGCACCCTCCCCCGTCCTCAAGACCCTCATGCGCCAGCTGGCAGACCAGGCGACACAGGTGACAGTGGACCTGAGGTGGTCCGACCTCGCCATCCCTCCCACAGCTCCGGTGCTCAACATGGCCAGAGGCCTCGCATTCAACAAGGCTACGGAGGTGTTTGTGTTTGGTGTCGACCAGCCTGCACAGCCCGTCCCCACCCACCCTGCCCTCGCCATCATCGAGCAGATCCAGCCGATGCCGCAGGCGTCGTCCCTGGTTCTCCACACGCACACGGCATTAGCGGCCGGCACCCAGCTGGCCAGCAAGATGCCCAACTTGCGGGTGCTGTCCGTCCAGGGCAGTGTGCCGATGGAACAGGCGCTGCAGGCCATCAAGGCCGTCGGTTGTGAGCGGGAGCTCGACATGGCGGCCGTGAGTGACACTCGGGGGGTGGGCAGCGGGGGCATCGACATAGGGGAGCATAGAGAGGGATTCCCGCACATCAGCAAAGTAGTTGTCGAACTCACAGGTGGGTGGATTGGAGGGTAGACAGCCCCACGGAGAGGGAAAGAAAGAGACACCGAGAGAGACCTGTATGTGAATCTGTGTCTGTGTTTGTGCTTGTCCGTGCGTCTGTGTCCAACTCATCAGTTCCTGGTGGCGTCACCCACTTTGTCGAGTTCGCCTGTTCGAGTGTGAGATCCCTGCTGCAGCTCAACTGCAAGACGGTGGTCCTCCGGCTGCTGGGCCTGGACAGCGGCACACGCAGCCTGCTCGAGTCTGCCGTGCCTGCACAACTTGGCAGCATCGAGGGCACGACAATTTTGCAGGAGAGGGACACGTGGTCACCGTCCGACGGTGATAGTCTCAGGATCGCTGCCAAGCATGACAGTGGGTAGCTACGGGTGTGTAGCGGCGTATGGGAATGGGCCAGCATTGATATCTGTGTACAGGGTCCATAGATGGTGGGAGACGTTGGTCGGCGTGCAGAAGCCCAGCTAGCTTCATCCCTGATCCTTGAGCTTGACTGTGTTGTGTGTGTTGGCGGCTGTTTGCCAGACGGGACATAATGGTGGATTGTAGCATAGCACACAGCACAGACAGTGGGGGCGTTGTCTGTCTTGTGGGCTGGTGACATTCATGTGCAGCTGCGTGCCTGCCTGCCTGCTTCAATACGTGTTGATGAGTCGCTATACGCAATTGCAAATGACCGTTGGTATTCAGATCGATATCAATAGTGTCTTTGGCCAAGTCTCTAGAAAATGCATTCGTCCACCAACCATCCACATGCGATCGGCCAGCCACATCCATCCCGCCCTGCACTTCGTCGCCTCACAGCTTTACGCTCGTCTTCTGAGTGTGCGCGTCTGCGTCAGCTCAAATGATGCGCCAGACAGCACCGCCAGGGCTGCACACAGTGCACCACACTCATATGGATCACCGACATGAAGACAGCCGCGTGTGTGTGCCCTGCAGAAAGTCACACTGACAGAGAGGGAGAGAGAGAGAGAGAGAGAGAGAGAGAGAACTGTCCAGTGTGCTTCTCCTTGTGTTTGGTGCGGTGTCTGTCTGGCCGACCGAGCTGTGCAGTTGGGCCTGATACTCGTGAAGGGCCTGAAGCTGCTCCTTGGCAGCCTTGTGCGCATCCTGGACACACACACGAGAGGGATGTTGACGTGAAGAAGGCGTCAAATGGCCTGAGGTAGGTACAGGTACCTTGCTCTCTCTTGAATCATGGCGAGAGACTCTGATCTGGCGCCCTCCTTTAGCTTGTCAACAACTAACTGACATTCTCAATACACAGATGGAGGGAGACATCCGTCCCTCCCTCCCTGCCTCCCTCCCTCCATCCATCCATCCACCCCTTTAATCACCTTCGAGTTCGCGGCCCGTTTCTCTTGTGCGTCGCCGACGGAGAGGCGACAGTCGGGCTGTGGGATGATTGATGAGAGTCAGTATCGATAGCAGCCGGTTAGCGCTTCTTTTTCGAGGCTGAATCAATCGTCAAATGCTCACTTTCTCCCCCTGAGCCCGGGTCGACCGCTCGAGATTCTCGCCGAGACGAAACGACTTTGCGCCCTTTCTTTTCCTTCTGTCCGTCGACTGCGTTTAAGAGAAGGATACGCGAAGGACGAGTGTTGTGCTGCAGCAGCACCGCCTCTCGCCTCTCCGTCTTTGAGAAGGAGAAGCCCTACCATCTTGCATCGCATGACGCGCTTTCAGCCGCCAACACAGGTGCCTCCAAGGAGGTCTAGTTTCTACGAGAGCTTGAGTGCCTGTCGGCATTTGGCCACCCAGCTGGGTGCTGGCATGGTGCGCTTCAGCGACAAGTTCGCCTTTGCAAAGCCCGTGGAGCCACTTGCGCTCCCGGCGGTGGGAGCAGGAAGAGAATGAGCAAAGAGACGCGTAAGCAACACAGGAAATCCGCAGCCATCAGAAGTACCATGTCTCGGCTGTGTTCTTCGTGACCAGTGTCGTCAGGCCTGCCGGTGCTGGAGAGCTTCTGGGACAAGTACACCTACATCAAGGTGTACGAGGAGGACCTCCGCGGCTTCGGGCACGAGACCATCGTGTCGTTCCGCAACTCCGTGTACTCGGACGGCCCCACCCGAAGATTCCAGCTCGACAACTTCCTCGCTCAGCTGCATCGCGACCGGTCCCTCCCCTACGATAAGAAGGTCAAGAAGATCAAGAGCTTTAGCTACCTGTACCAGACATTCTGTGACCTCTACGTCAAGATACACAAGTATCTGAACGTCATGGCTGACACAACTCTACACACCAGGGAGGAGGTCGAAGAGAGACTCACCACAGGCAATGAGGTGCGTGATCGATTCATGCATTGCATGATTGATATTGACACAAACGCAGACAGACAGAAGGACGGGGGCTCTATATTTCCGCTGCTGTGCTGTGTGTGTTGGATGTAGTTGGAGGCTGGTATTGCGTCCCACCCGCAGGAGTTCGAGGGCCACATCGCCAAGTCTGGCATCCCGCCAGCCGGCGGCGAGGGGGGCGGCGTGAGGCCGACGGTGCCGTCCATGTTGATGCAGTCGCTGGTGCCGTTCCTGGTGAAGCTGACGTCAAGATGGCCTCCGCCAATGTGAGCGACCGCACCAGATACCCACACATCAATCAGGTGAGTACCTGCAATGCACGCAAGGCAGGCAAGGCAGGCATGAGGAAAAGCTGGATGGGTTGCCGTTAGATGGACCGACTGGCGTGTGGGCATGGTGGTTGTGCAGTTGTATGACGCATTGACTGGCCAAGGGGGCCATCCCGAGGTCGTCACTTACGCCGAGAGCGTCGACACGGGCATCTTCTTCAAGCGCCTCTTCCCGCGAACCAAGACCAGGAAGGTGGACTCGGACGAGGGCAGCGACAGCATCGAGGACAGCGACGGTGACGAGTACAGGTACTTTGGCTCCTTCATCCGTCGGCTGCCCTTGAGCATGGCGCCGCCTTGCCCGCCCGGCGGTGGTGTGAGCAAGCAGGCCCAGAAGAGACACCCGACTCAAGCTCGACAAGATGCGTGGCATCGCCCGTCAGAATTTGCAGGACTACGCGGCCAGCATTGTGAAGGCACAGAGTGCCGGCACTGGGGGCGCAGGTCAGACAAGCGATGAATGAGGGGGTCGGATGTGCCTGGTTGTCTGTGTCCGTTTGTGTGTCAGGTGCTGATGGTGTCAGGGGGGCCTCTAGTCCGTCGCCGCTTAGTGCCCTCGACAACCACACCAATCCACTGCCATCGACTGCCGCTCCAACACTCTTCGCTGACCCTGCTGCTGCCTCGTAAGGAACATGCAAACATGCAGCTGACATCTTGAGGGATCAATCTTGCTGTTTGCAGAAGGGCTGATACGTTCGACAGCGTCCAGTCGTCGTATCCGCTCGCTGATAGCTATCAGGCAGGCAGCGCTTCATCGTCAAAGCAACACAGGTGGGCACGGCATCAACCGAGGATCACTGTGATGACACTCAATCACCACATGTGTGTCCTTGGCCTGTCAGTCATCCGCCGTTCATCGCTCCCTCGCCCTCTCCTCCTCACCCTCGCCCGATGCTGCCAGGCACCCAACAAACCGGCGGCCACCTTAGCCACACGTCCGCCCACAAGAGCCTTCCCGGCTCCCCTCCCGTCGCGGCTGCTGCTTGGAGTGCATCGTCTCCGTCGAGTCGTGCGTTCTTTGACAACGACCGGTCGGCTGGGCCGTCTGCAGCAGCAGCTACTGATGGCGGTGACTACGGCGAGTGGCCTGCCTATAGTCATGGTGGTGATGATGGTGACGGTGGTGACGATGAGCCCCTTCCATTCGTGGGCCCCATGTTCGAAGGCGAGGGGTGCAGGCATCGCACGGCACGGGCAGTAGTGGGGATGGGCTGGCCGACCGATGGTACAACGACATGGCCGGTGCTGCTCATGGGTACGCCAATGCATTCAATAGCGTATGCAAATTCAATGCTCGACCATCACATCCATCCACCCATTCTGGTGCTATCGGTGTGGTATGCAGGTTTTCTGGTCATGGGGTGCAGAGAGAGAAGTACGAAGAGGAAATGCGGCACAAGTGAGGCAGCTGCCCACGAACACCGAACAATTGATGTGACCGAATGTCGTTGTTTGTTGTGTGTATGTGTGTGTGTGTGTGTGTGTGTTTTCATTCAGGCTGGCTGGCCTCAGCATGCAGCAGCGGCGGCATCCCTCCTCATTCAGCAGCTCGTCTTCCTCGCCCCCACCCCCGCCCCCCCCACCGCAGCTGCCCAAGGCGGGTGCAGGAAGCAGAAGTGTTGCTGGTGTAGCAGATGAGCTGTCGTCGCCTGACCGCCACAGGCCCCTCTTCGCTCCCTTCGCCACCAATTTCAGCGACCCGCAGCGGAACCAGCAGGCACTCGGCATGGTGCAGCCTTCCCCCTTCGCCCCACACCAGGCCATTCCCTCTCATCACAGCAACCACCACCACCAGCTGCAGGGCAACATGCGAGGCCAGACGCCCTCTCACGCCGCCCCATCTGCCAAATATGTGTACCATGATCACCCTGCCAACGAACAGCACCGACACGCCAACAGGTCGGACCAGCGGCCGGGCGCCAGCCAACCCTTCGGAGGCGTAGGGGGCATGGCCATGCATGGGCACCAGGGGCAGCAGGTGGCAGGCGGCCGTCGCCTCGCTGACCGGTTCAGAAGGCCACAGAGCGATCCCCTGAGAGACCTTTGTTGGGAGTAAGATGACTGACACATCACACACATCACACTCATGCAGACCCCACACACACATCTCCATGGATCAGTCTTGCTGTTCTGCAGAGGGGCGAGCCGCCTGAGCTGTGTGTTTTCTCTCCAATATAGCTTCGCTAGGCCCTCAAGTAAGCGGCGGCTCGCCGGCGAGTGGAACGCCATTAAACATGGCAGCAATGAGGATCCCTGCAATGAGACTCCATCACCCTCTGTGTATCCTTGCTGTCAGTCATCTGCCTCACCTTTCCCCCCTCCCCAAATGCGCCTCGCACAGCACGGGCAGTGGTGGGGATGGGCAGGCCCTGGGGAGGCAGGACGATCGCTGCTGCTGCTCAAGGGTAAGCCAGGGGACCAGCGCATGCAACCTTCAATGCTCGACCATATCACATCCATACATACCAACTTTGGTGTCCAGGTCTTCTGCTTGGTTGTTGTTGAGTGAGAACGTGGAAATGAGGAAGTGTGGCGAACGTGAGGCAGCTGCCCTCGAAGACACAGCAATCTCATTGCCTGTTGTGGTTGTGGTCAGCAGCATCGTCCTCGTGTGGCTCAGGTGCCCAGGGCCGGTGCAGAAGGTAGATATGTGGCGGGTGCAGCAGACGGGGTGTCGTCGCCCAGAGCAGCGGGTCAACGGCTTCAGGAGCAGGGGCAGCAAGAGACATGACGTACACACGTATTCTTCCCATCATCCTTTAACAATCCACAAGCAATCCATCATACTTGCCTTTGTCTCTCTCTGTTGCAGCTCTAAACATCGCTTCCTACATTTTATATTCGTGAGAGATATTTCCGCCGAATCATCACTCGCGAGAGGTTTGGCTATTACTTCAGATTCGCTGTCGTGCTGAGTTCTGCCTTTCTCATGGTGTCCATCCGTCAGCCACCGGTACGCCCACAAGGCGATGATGATGGAGCAGCAGCCCCCCAATCAGCGCACGAGGCGCAGTCAGCAGCCGCACGGACAGCCGCCATCAGCGCCCCGGCCCGATATCGCCGTTCTGTACCGTGCCAAGGCCGCGAAGAAGGGATGGCTCGACAGGCTCAACGGCGTCGTGAAGGAACTCTACGCCAGCCTGACGTGCCCTATGCCGTGCTGCCAGGTGGAGAAGAGCGCGCCCAGGGCGCGTCAGCACCGAGGCCGCCCATCTACCGGCCGGGTCCGCCATCCCACCCACCCGCCGCAGCGACACTGGCTGCTTCGCCGCCGTGCCGAGCCAGCGTGCCGCCTGCAGCCGCTGGCTCGCCAGCTGGCACCACTGCCACCGGCCCCGACCCGCCAGCACCAGCCACAGCCCAGCCGCCACCACCACCACTGCCCGCCTCACGAGAGGTCCTCGCGGCGTTCCAACCAGCCGGCCGATATATGCAGCGCTGGAGCGACAAGTTCGCCCTTGTCGAGGGGCATTCAGACGCCGCCCCGCCGACCCACAGCCGGCTGATGCTCAAGACGCTGGTGCCCACGAGCATCGGCGGCCAGCTGGGTGGACCCATAAGGGACGAGCTCGTGGGGAGGCTCAAGAGGGAGGCGGAGGCCATGAAGGCCATGAAGGGACGGACAGGAGATGGCGGCCTACCCATCGCGGCCGAGGTGGTCGCCGAGGGCGACATTCTAGAGGGCGAGGAGGTGCCGATCCGCCTCATGGGTGAGGAGTGGCAGAAGCACCGGGACGGCGGCTACAAGGGCAACCGCCCGGCCGTAGCCAACACGCGTGTCGAGGCGCGCCTCTACGGCCACTTCCTGCTGTCGAACTTCGCCGGTGAGTCAGACAATGAGAGAGGGCCACAGCCAAACGAAATCACATCACGTGTAAATCTATGTATTTCACTGCCTGTCTGTCTGTGTTGGTTTCATTCGTTCAGCACTCCTGCGGGAAGCCACCCGAGCAGAGCTGGAGGAGCAGCAGCCCCCACTTCCACCCCCACCCCCACCCCTGCCCCAACCGTCAAGGGCACCACCAGCTGCCGCGTCTGCTGCTGCCCCAGAGGGCCACCGACACAGCCACCCAGTGGACCCGCCGGCCACCGACACACTGCCCCAGGCCCCCAAGCCACAGCACCCACCCCGACAGGCCCTGATCCCGGACGAGGACGAGGACTACGTTCCGTCGACCATCCTGCGTGCGCGTGCCGAAAAGGCCGCCAAGGAGGCCAAGATGGCGCGGGCGAGGGAGGCGGAGAGTGGGGATGAGGGAGAGGAGAAGGAGACAGCAGCAGGCAGAGGTGCGCCCTGGCGGGCTGTGGACCGGCAGCGTCAACCTCACTGACATCCTCCACATCCGCTGCGGCCGCCTGAAGCATCCGAGCGTCAAGTCGCGGGCCACGGCATGGAAGCTGCAGCTCATCAAGCAGACGATCGACCGCCTCAACCTCAGCAAAGGCGCCTACCGCGAGCTCATCGTGAAGGGCAAGTTAGGTAGGTGCACATTTCGCACACGATACCCCTGCACTCATGCATTGTCCCCATGTCTCTTTATTTTCAGGGAGTTCTCAATCGCTGTCTGCATTTTATATTTCCTGTGTCTCTTCATCTGAGATCAACGAGGGAATATGCCGGTCCCCCGTTCGTCGAGCCGCCGAGTCGCCGATGGAAAGCCAAGCTTGTCGTCTCTCCCGCCACAGACGACATCAGCCGAATTTCACAGGCGATTGCGCACTTCGCTACGTGGCGACTCGCCATCTTCCACGACGACGATGAGGCGAAGTGGTGTGTCCTCGAGGTACCCACACACTCACACACATGGCCATACACGGACGCAGAAGTGAAAGGCAGGCAGGTGCACGTTGCCCTTCCTTTCTCTTCAGATCAGCGATGAGGAGGAGAGGCCGGCCCCCTGCCGTGGTGGGAGAGGATGGGCCTCTCACAGCTGGCGAACCCCCGAGAGTTGTCATGGCGACACCGCTCAAGGGACTTGGCTGGAGGTAGGTGGCTGGCCGGTACATCAAGTCGATGATACAGACAGCATCACTCTTGCTTCGTGTGCTGTGTTGTGTGTGTGCGTGTAGACTTGAGTGACTACTGGGTGGATAGTACACCGCCATGAGCGAGAGGGGGACATGGTGAGAAGCGGGAACGGACACGTCATTACGATGGATTCATTGTTCTGCTCCGTCATCTTTTCCCCGACAGTTCCTGTTCCCGGACGAGGACGAGGACTATGTTCCGTCGACCATTCTGCGTGCGAGTGCCGAGAAGGCCGCCAAGGAGGCCGAGATGGCGCGGGCGAGGGAGGCGGAGAGTGGGGATGAGGGGGAGGAGAGGAGGCAGCAGCAGGCAGAGGTGCGGCCAGGCGAGCTGCGGACCGGCGGCGTCAACCTCACTGATATCCTCCACATCCGCTGCGGCCGCCTGAAGCACCCCAGCATCAAATCGCGGGCCACGGCACGGAAGCTGCAGCTCATCAAGCAGACGATCGAGCGCCTCAACCTCAGCAAAGGCGTCTACCGCCAGCTCATGGTGTCGTGCCTGTCGTCGCTGGAGGGCATCCATGGGGCTGAGTGGGTGCACGGGGATACCAATGGCCAGAATGCCATGGTCGTGTGGGATCCCGTCACCCGCCGCCTCGACAGCCCGTGGATCGACTTCGAGGTGGCCAGGCCGACCACCGAGGCCGAGCAGCCCCTGACGACCACTCCACCCACACTGTGCCACGTGGAGCCGGTGGCGGTTCCCCCTCCCCACTGCGACCCAACGGCACTGAGACGTGTGGCCAAGGTGATAGGGTGGTCATCGACCAGAGCAAGCCCAGCACGGTCGCAACGGCAGCACCGCAGTCGCCCCTCTATGGTGCCTTCAGCCGCATGGCGGACACCTACACCATCTGCTCGCTTGCCGCCGCCATCCTCATGGGTCCCCACATGGACCACCCGAGCGGCCCCTCGCGCAACCACGTCATCTTTTCCCCCGCGACCTTCACGGGTCCCTTTATGGACCCGCCGAGCGGCCCCTCCGACACCCACCCCTTCTGTGGGCAGGAGCTGCCCTTCTTCCCGGGGGCACATGGGGCCCGCAGCAGCAGCAGCAGATCTCTGTACGGCCGCCACTTTGAGTCGGTGAAGGAGGAGGATGCGCTCATTAAGGAGGCCATCGAGATGGGGGGCGAGGGGGGGAAAAGGGCGCTGCACGAGATTAACGACGAGAAGCCGACGAAGCGCCACAAGTGGCTGGTGGGGGCGGTGGAGCAGCGGCTCGTGTGGGAGGAGCAGAGGGGAGAGGCGCGCGACGAGGAGGCCGTGCAGGACCTCAGGATGGCTCTGGTGCTCGTCAAGGAGGAGATGTGTCCGGACGAGGGCGAGAGGCGCCCACTGCGTGAGATAATCCAGTAAGTAAGGAAGGCACGCACTCGCACATCCACTTGACAGCAAGCAGCATGTATCATGTGTCTGTGCGGGTCTGTGTGTCTTGTTCCTGCTGCAGGCACTGCCACGAGTTCCTCTTAGTAGTCTAGCTGTGCCCCATCGGCTGCCTAGTCCATCCATTCATGATGCCCTCTGTGTCGCTTCCGTACGTCCGCCCCCCACTTGGCCCGCCCGCTGCGCCGACATGACCTGCACCAGAGACTCCTTACGAGCCCCCACCCAAGACACTCGCCGACGCAGCCATTGAGATGGGCTTCGACGTCACGGCCCAGCCGCCGCCCAGGCCCCTCGGGCAAGAGGAAAAACGCGACGGGAGAGCGAGTGTGACGGCAGCCAGGTGGTGGACTCGTCAGCCTCTGGGACGCGGCCAAGGGGATCGGCAGGGGTGTGCGGCATGGCGGTGGGAGAGGGGTGGGAGGGGGGAACGATAAAGGGCGGCGCCCAGCTGGGAGGCCGAGCAAGCAGGATTTGCGTGACGATCTGTGGCGAGAGGGGGATATCGGAGAGGGAGAGGGAGAGGGAGAGGGGTCGGCGTGTCTGCCTAGAGAGGGTTTCTACGCCACGAGTGCTGGCAAGGGAGGGCCTGTCCGTGTGAGCCCTCGGGTAGCGTATCCGCCGCAGATGGATGAGGAGGTGATGGTGCTGCGGAGCGGCCCTGGCACCGCTGCCTACATTTTGTATCAGTGAGGCTTTTGCTATGTTGAACCTGGCGCGCCCTTTATGGTACACTCGTGTGTGCCCCAGAGACACTGGTGTCGATTGAGCTTAAAGAAACTCAGCTGTCCTCCGCCATGGTCCCCTCCTTGCATCAATCCATTGACAGATAGAAACGCACACGTGAGACACGACACTTGATAAAGCCAACGACACGCACCACAATTAAAGTAACGAACGAGCCTCATTAAGAACCACAACGACCTACTTACTGCCTCACCCGCCCACCCACCCACCCACCCACCCACCCGCTCATCAAGCAGAACGACCTCAACAGGGGTGTGTGTCTGCTGCACGAGGTCATGCCTCCGAAGAGGATGCAGCAGCCTCCGTCCCTCCCTCTGATGTGTCTCGCCCTCTCTCACGTCCTCCCTCTGTGTCTTGCCCTCTTGCAAAGAGAAGGCGAGACACATCAGCGGGAGGGAGAGACACATCCATCCATCCATCCATTTGTGTGTGTCTGTCACCATCGATGATTTTGTCGCTCTGGGCAAGATGAGGAGTGCACTTTCTGTCCTTCC